ATCATCTCTCTCTCTCTCTCTCTCTCTCTCTCTCTCTCTCTCTCTCTCTTTCTCTTCTTCTTTCACCACCTTTTCTCTCTAGCTTATCTATCTTCCATGTATCGCTCGCTGCGGCAAACACATCTTCTCCCCTTTCCTTTCTCCTTCCTCTTCTTCGACCGATCTTCGTCGAAATTTTCCTCACCTCTCGAATCCTTTCCTCTTCCTTTTCCTTCTCCTTTTCTTCCTCCTACCGTTATTTTTTCTTTTCTTTTTTTTATTTATTTTTTTTTACTTTTTTTATTTTTTTTTCTTTTTTTTTTTTTCTTTTTCCTTTTCTTCGTTATTTCAACAACACGGGTTTCTCGGCGGCGAACATGCTACTATGTCGCTCTCATCCGACGTATCGTCTCTTCTTGTCCGTTGCTCGTCGTTGTCGTCGTCGTCGTCGACCGGCGCTCTTACGTCCCTTTATCTCGCATTTCGCGTTAAACGATCGCTCTTCCCTTATATATTTCCACGTTGTTTTCCTCGCAAAAACAGATTTCGCTCTCGATTAGGCTCTCCTTCCTTTGATCCTTTTACGGAACGTGAATCTCGTACGTGATTTCTCTTTCCAACTCGCCGCTAAAACGGTGTTCGTACTTCCATCGTTTGCCAAAATTTCGATCTGTAAAAAAAGAAGAAATACGATTCTTTGAAGCGTATAACTGCTGGCCACGACACACGATACACGACGACCCGTTTCTTTCTCGCGATTTTCTCGCTCTCTCGAGTGCGTCTATTTATTTAGTATCTTTTCTCTCTCTCTCTCTCTCCTCTCTCCCTCTCTCCCACGGATTCGTATTTTTTTTTTTTTTTTTTTTTTTTTTTTTTTCCGTACGAACAGTTCGCTTGTAAAAAATCTTCGATGACGATTACTCCATCGTGTTATTATTATGTATTAATAACCCCATGTGTAGTATCCGCGGATGTGTGTGTAACGAAATAATTCGGAAAATTCACGAATTCGGCGATAAGAAAAGTCGATGGAGAAGAGGAGAGGGAAGGAGGAGGAGGAGGAGGAGGAGGAGAAAAGGGACGTTACGAAAACGCACGAAACGTCTATAACCGTCGTATGGTTAAAAAAAACTCGAGACTCGAAAATACGTTACGGCTCGTAAAAAAAACGCTCGTTCGAGGTGGTCGATCGTCTTACGACCGATTATCGCCTCTAAACTTTTCGCAACGGTCAACGTTGTTGTTATTGTTGTTGTTGTTGTTATTGTTGTCAACGTTGCCCTCCTTTTGATCGCCGCGTTCCGTCCCCGCACAAATTCATATTCCTCGCTTCGAGAGGAATTCGTGTCGGAGAGAACGATTAATTTTACCAACGGCATTTGGCGGAGATCCAATCGTCGCCATCCTCTATCTCTCTCTATCTCTCTCGCTCTCTCTCTCGCCCTGTCTCTCGACCGCAACAATGTTCAGAGACGATCAACCGCACGAGATCAATCGACCAAGGTTCGTTCGATTTCATGGCTCGATCATAGATTCCCCCTTCGATATCGAAAATCGGCCCGTCTCGCGATCGTGCACAAAAATCTCTCGAACCCGAAGAGATTCGATTTACGATTTACGAAATTTACAGCGTGTTCCGCCGTCGAATTTCGAACGCGAACGAACGACGATGGACGGAAGAGGAGGAGACGGAGAACGAAGAAGAGAAACGAAGGCGAAATAAATCGAAAAAAACTTCGAAAATCCAATCCAATCGCGTACAACCATCCGAAATCGCCAACGTTTAATCGTGGAAGCCGCGATGATGACGATCGAGTGGTCGAGAGCAAAAAGAAGAAGAAGAAGAAGAAGAAGAAAAAAAGAGAGAACGTGCGAATTACACAAGTATATTTCACACTGTACGTACCACGCACACTGAAGAGTAGCCGAATATTTGGTAAGTCGAAGGACAAAGCACGATCGCATCGTATATTTTCCATCCGCGTCCCGTCCCTTTGTTCCCTCTCTTTCGTTCGCCAGTTTACGACACTCGAAAACTTCGTCGCTTATCATCGTTTCTCGTTCCAACAAACAACTTTTTTTTCCCTGCCATCGCTCGCACCGATCCTCGTCGTTTACCTCGTAAACGACTTTTCGTTCGTACGAAACGCGATGGATATCGTACTCGTACCCGAATTATCATTATTTTCTTCCTCGTTATTATTTCCTCGAATCGAGTCGATGATCGAGAGAGAGAAGAAAAAAAAGAAAAAAAAAGAAAAAATGATCGATTTCGAGAAATCTCTCTTTAATCTCTCTCTCGCATCTTTTTTGCATCCTTTCGATACCCCTTTCGTCCTAGCGTTTTTGTCCCGCTTGTTTCGACGATTAATTCGATCGTTTAATTATCTTACACGATTTTAAACTTTTACTCGTTTTCAATGACGAATTTTTTTCGCCCAAAATTTTTAAGAAAAAAAAAAAATATATATATATATATATATATATATATATATCGCAAAGATTACTTAACGATTCGCTGATTCATCGCGATAACGGTACGCGATAACCACTCGAAATATCTTACCGAATAATGTAATAACAGCAACGGTTAAATACGACTAACGTGCAACAAATTGGAACATCGAGTTGCCACGATCTTCTAAATTGCCCGTTCGCGTGTACCGTTCGATCAACACACCGAATCGATTGTTGCCGTTCGTCGGCAACTTTTTCAAATTTTCGGAGTTTTTTCCCGAACCGAAATTCAAAGATAACCAATCGATTTGAACGATTTATCGCAACGTAATTATATTCAACGTTGTTTCGAAATTGTTATTCTTATCTTTAGCAGCAATTGTCGACGGCGGCGACGACGTGGTAATCGTAACCGATAGATGATATTTTTGTCACAGCACTTTCCAAGAAAACTTCCGGACTTGTCTGTCTCTTTGTGTTCGAACGAAACGTGATCCGATGACAAGAACGATTATCGGAACAACGACAATAGCAGCGATAACAGCTCTTTCGACCAAATCCCTTCTTCCCCATGTTTCGAATCCTCTCGAATCGCTCTAATTTTCCTTTCCGATTTTTCGACGAGTGAAACAATGCGAGCAACTCGTGCCGTACGATCATCGTCGTCGTATCCTTCCACTGCATCGGCTCTGACCGCCCGCCTCGCACTGAATCGACCGTTACCCCTTCCCAAACCTTCCACACCTCTCTATCGTTCACCAACACTACCGCCGCCCGCCCGCCCACCACTACTACACCACTGCTCGCTTCCATCGCGCCATTACCATTACCACGAGGATCGTTGCAGTTATAGAATAACCTCGCTATTCCAATAACTTGTCACGAATTATTCCTACTATTAGATCTTCTATCAATCACGTTCCGCCGTTCTCATCAATCCAATTTACCGAATCTTCGAACACTCGTTTATCCAACATATTTATGCGTATATTTTTTTCTCGCGCTTTGTCCACTTTTCCAATAAATTTCATACGCGTACGTGTAAAAAATTTTATTTCTAACGCGTGTCTTTCGTGTCTTTTAAGGGGACACAAATTTTGGATATTAATAATTCTAGTGCAAGCGTCCATATTTTTCATCTTCTATCTTCTATTCAATTAATAACAGTTCCACATCCAATGATTTTAGAGAAGTTCTTTTTTTTAAAGAAGTCAAATTTGCTATTGATCGAGTTAAAGAATATTGCCAAAATATATATTCTAAAATCTCACGCATATATATTCTCACAAAGATTGAACAAGACTATACAATTATACAGCGGTATGAATAATTTTAAATGATATATCGTGAAAATTAAAATCGAATGAAAATTAAACGCATATATAAGC